GTGTTTCTTAAAGTTTTTTTTTTTTTGTTATGATCAATAGTTTCGCACAGTGCACATAACACCAACAAATAATAGTACTTTCCATTTGGTCCTCTACATATATGACTTCAAATAACAAACACAGTACTCACTTTCCATATAATTTATTTTATGTGAACTCACCCAAAGGACACTAAAAATATAACATTAAAAATATTTATTATTTAGATTATATAAAATTTTTAAGAAAGTTTAAAGAATTTACCTCTTCTTTATTTTCCAATCACATTTTATCGTCCGTTAATTCGAGGAACTGTGCATAAAATTCTTTCGTACATTCGCCTTTATTATTAAACACGAATTTATAATAACTACCATCTGCACATATTACTGCAACAAAAATAAAAAAAATACTGTTATGAAAAATCAAAACTGCTTAAGTATTTATATTGCTACATTATACTATAATACTCACCTATAATACTATTATTATCAGTTCCAAATGCACACATACATTGTGGACCACCCGGAACTTGAAATTTACAAAAGCTCCAGCTTGAACTAAAATATTTTGGCAGGAAAGTGGCAGATGCTAAACTAGATTGACGATTTAATTTTTGATCTTCTACAGCAAAAACATGTACAGTTCCATGATCACTTGCCACACACAACCAAGTGGAATCATGATTGAAATTAATGCTACCATAATAGAGATCGTATTGTTTTATTTTATATTAGTAAATAATTGTTTTTAATGTTTTTATTTTGCTTACCAATAAATGTTTGCATGATTAGCTCCCCTTCTCAATTCATTAATCATACTTCCAGTTTGTGTTTCAAATACCCTTATCAAAGTGCCTTTTTCTGAAGCTGTAGCTAGTCTAGTACCTTGTAAGTTTAAAGCAATACATGATAAAGGTGTTTCATGTGCTTCGATATTTAATGGTTGTTTTTCTGTATTAGCCAAATCAATTACTGTAACAATAAAAAAAAAGAAAGATATTTTATGTAATAAAGCTAATAAAGCTAGGTTTTTATTTAAAATTTTACCTTGGACATGTCCATTCTTTCTACCAGGAAAAGCAAGCAAGGAATTACTACTATTTGGACATAAAACACACAGACCTCTGGGATTTGGATTAGTCTCAAACACATGAAGTTGTTGTGGATTTCTTGTAAATGTATAAACTTTTATAACTCCTTCTAAAATTACTACTATTCTATCTCTCCTTAATTTAACACCCTTTACAGGAGCATTGAACTCTAAAGTAATTGCTGATCTTTTTTTAAGGTCATCCCATATCATAACTGAAATATATTATATAATAAATAATCTATTTTATTTATTTTAAAGTAAAAAAAAATATAATATTTTACCTTTATTTGTTGGATACATGGGTTTTGCTCCACTACCAACTAATGCTAAATAATTACATCTAAACAGCATTTCCACATAACCAAGACCTCCATCACTGAAATGGCGTACTTTTTCCTTTAAAGGATCACAATTATATACTCTGAAACCATTTTCCATACCACAAACGAAACATCCTACAAGTGAAAAGATTACACAAACAATAAAGATATTATTATCTATTTTTGCATTACATGTATATAGATATATTTTTTCTTTAGGATCACAATATAGTATTTGAAACATACATGTTTCTTATTTAAGATATATATTAATGTAAACACACAGAAAACTAAGAAGATAAACCACTACAGTTGAATAATTATCATGTAACTCTTTATGAAATATCATATCATATGATACATAAATAAAAGAATATAAAAGAATGAATGGATTACAAAAATAAATTGCTTAATAATTTGAATAAAATATGTTTATATATCAATAGATTTACAAGCAATTTTTTTTAATTCATATTTATAAAGAAAAATAAATCAATATTCATAAATAAAATATATAATGTAATGTAATTAAAAGATAATTTGAATAATAGCTAAAGTAAATTTAAATAATTAAAATAGAATGAAATATAATATATAAATATATTTAAAAAACATATCTATAACAAATTTATTATTAAATTCATTATGATCTTACAAGAATAAGGTTAAAAAAAAATGATTATAAGTTTTTTTATTTTAATTATTTTGAACAAATGGCGTCTATTGAAAACATATTTTTTTTATATTAAAACGATATCAATTATATAAAAAAAAATAATCATAATAAATTTATGAAATAAGAATATTAGATATACAGGTTAGAAATAAAAAAATAAATTTGACAGTACATGACCGGACTGTCAAATGTAGTACACTCGGTCACATACCTTGATCCTGATTGAAACCAGCATAAAGCAAGCCATTACCGTGAGGATTCCCTGTAGTTAGGTTCATCGTAAATCACTTCTTTAATCGCAACATTCGCTCATATGATCATTTAGTCACGGAATTCTATCACATCTTCGCCGGCAAGCACATGAGATACTTTTTGTAACTACGAAGTTCCGTCACCATCATAGAGTTTCTACGCATGCGTATTCTTCTGTATTAATCAGCTGATACTAAAACCGGATCGTAATTTGTAAGTACATATATGTAAAAAGTTTTATTTAAAACTGTTAAATGTTATAATTTTATTCGAAGCACAATATTTATTAATTGTTTTGTATAATAAATAATTGAATAAAAAATTATTCAAAATAAGAAAATGATCAATCTATATATGTAAATTTGATATAAAATTATTATTAAGTTAGGTTATATCATGAATTATTATTCAAGAATATTTTTGATAATAAGGAATTTACATACTTATTCTACATTATTTCGAGAAACACCACAAAATTTAAAAGGAAAAAAGCATAGTTCACAATTATGGCTTACAAGACAAATACAAGATCCTTATGTAGAATTGGCTAAACGAGAAAATTATAGATGTAGAAGTGCATATAAATTGTTAGAAATTAATGAAAGATTTAAGATATTGGAACCAGGAAAAATTGTAATTGATTGTGGAGCTGCTCCTGGCAGTTGGACTCAAGTTGCTGTTAAATTCACGAATGCAAATGCTAAACAAAAAAGTGCTATTGGAACTGTTTTAGGAATAGATAAACAACCAATTTATCCTATTGAAGGTGCAACTTTATTAAATGGTATGGATTTTACGGCTGCAACATCTCAAAATAAAATCTTGAACATCTTAAATGGTCGAAAAGTAAATGTATTTTTATCAGATATGGCACCAAATGCATCTGGTATAAGAGATTTAGATCATGAGAATATAATACAACTTGTATATAGTGCTTTAAAATTTGCTTTACAAATTATTCATATAAATGGAATATTTGTTTGTAAACTATGGGATGGTAAGAAATCTTTACAATTGGAGAAAGATCTGACAAGATTTTTTAAATATGTAAAAAATATAAGACCAAAAGCAACAAGAGATGAGTCTACTGAGAAGTTTCTTATTGCTCGGGAATTCAAAGGGATAAAAAGTACATCCAGTAATGCAACGTAACATGCAATTTCTTTAACAATTAAGTTATGTACAATAAAAAATTACAATTACAACGTAACATGCAGTTTCTTTAACAATTAAGTTATGTACAATAAAAAATGCTTAATGAATAAAATGATTTGTAACATAATCGCTTATCATGCCTGGACAGGTTGTAAATAATAACAAAGCATGATATTTTGGCGCAAAACCAATATCGAATGATTTTTTTATACGTTCTTTCTGTTTTGCGATCTAAGAATACTTCCTACATGATACGACACGACAATGTATAATATACATCGATATATTTAGCTATAAATAATACAATAATATTTTTATACAGTTACAATTAATACACGTTAAGACGCTGATGACGCTTCTTAATTATGTAATGTATATACAATTTCTCTTAATAAAATTAATATGTACACGAATTAACATTCAAATACATGAGAAAAAGAGATTACACACCACATCGAAGCATATGTAGAGCAGTAAAAAAAATTACTGGCCGCGATGTCAAATTTATAATTTTTTTTTAATTTCGTACGTGATATAATCACACGTATATATAATTTTATCTTCTTATAAAAATCCAAAGGATATATCGATAGATTTTGTTAATGATAATAATAATTTTTTCATTCCGTAATTGCATGCATTCTATCGCGTATTTTCGTATAAAAGAGTTATCGCAGGATTAAACGTTATTCCAATAACATCATAGAATTTAAAACGGTTTTGCTTTTCGCAAATTTATTTTTTTTTTTTCTTCTAGCTTTCTAGCTTTCTTTTAGAAAAGCATTATTTACATCGATTGATCATATTTTTGAGGTAATTCCAATATGTATATATATATACGTGTGCGAGATGAATTCTGAATGATAAATATATGATAGAAAATTGAATCAATTCTTAATTGAGAGAAAGAAGAATTATTCGGAAAAATACATGTCGATAGATCATTGACTTCCATTTATTCGATTTATTAAGATTTATTCGAAAATTTTATTTGAAATATTATTTGAATAACGTCTAACTTTGTTTTGATCACGGATAATATGCAGTATGTACTCTGATCATGGATGGTTGTATTTATGTATGCCTCATAGATCTCACGGGACGGTACATGTGTACGGAAGTATTGTACACCGATAAATAGCGCTACATGGTCTTATTTGTAGATGCAAGACTTTTGATCAATAGGCATTCCTACTTTTATGATTGTATATATTCGGTCTATTCGAATAATCAATCAAATCCATATTTCTTTCATGGAATTTCTAACGAGGAACGCACAGTAGTTTGATCCTGGATGGTAATACTTCGATCATAAATGGTAGTATTTTGGTCATTGCTCGTAGTGCTCTGATTATGACTTATAGTACTCTGATCGTGAATGGTAGTATTCTGATCATGGATGGTAGTATTTTGATCATAAATAGTAGTATTTTGATCGTGAATGGTAGTACTATGATCATGGGTACTAGTACTCTGATCATAAATGGCAGTACTTTGATCATAAACAGTAGTACTTTGATCATAAATGAAAGTATTCTGATCATGAATTGTAGTACTCTGATCATGGATTGTAGTACTTTGATCGTGAATTGTAGTACTCTGATCGTGGATTGTAGTACTC